TGGGCCTCAAGTTATTCCAGTCATTGGTTTGCCTAATTCCCTGGTATATCTTCCAGACAACACAAAAATGTATCAAGTATTTTCATGGCTGGCTTTCTGTTCTATTCCTACCACTGGGAGCCATATGCCATTACAGAAGAAGACTGGTTTAGGCTTTCATCCTCGCCACCTTGGGCCAGTAATTGGATTGCCACTACAACAAACTTGAGCCACCATTTCCCTGGTATATCCTGTTGTATCTGTGGTTCCAGACACAACAAGTGTATGTCAAATATTTTATGGTTGCCTAGGTTTCCTTAAGAAACATAAAGTTTCTTAATGCCTAGGGAGCCTTATGTGATTACAGAAGATGACCAGTTCAGGCTCCATATCTGAGTTACTATATCAGTAGAATCACCTGTTAGCTTGTAGCTGGTTACTACTTCACTGTTTCCACATCAACTCCCATCCTTCCTCTTCTTGCTCTGAGTCCACCTACAAAATCTAGTCTATTTCCTCTTTCCATTGGGTATCCTTATACCCCCTACTATAGCCACCCTTTTACTTACCCTCTCTGGGTCTGTGGATTGTTCTGTGATTATTCTTTATTCAAAATCCAATATCCAGTTACAATTATTATGTATCATGATAATATACATGATTAGTGTTTACTTGCTCAGAAGGAAAAAAAAACTCAAGAAGCTACACATCAACAAATAAATTAATCAAATAAAAATTTGGTATGGATCTAAACAAAGAATTCTAAATAGATGGAATCTAAACTGGTTTGGAAATACTTAGCCAAATGTTCAACATCCTTAGCCATCAATGAAATGTAAAACAAAACAGCTTTTAGAATTAACATTATACCTGACAGAATGATTAAGATTAATAACACAAGTGACAACTCATTCTGGCAAAGATGTAGAGCAAGGAGAACACTCCTCCATTGCTGCTGGGAATGCAAATCTGTATAGCAACTTTGTAAATCATGGCAGTTCATCAGATAATTGGGAATCTATCTACCTCAAGACTGTGGTAGTTTGAATGTTGTTGACCCCCATAATCTTCTGTGGGTTGGCAGTAGTAGGGGGTGTAGATATTTTGGACTGGGTATGACCAAGTCATGTCTTTATCATGAGTTTTATAAGATACTACACATTGAAACACTTCAGGGACTGTTAACAGCTTATGACCATCATTGAAGTTAGACTAAATACTTTTACATCATGAGATGACTATGAACATTTAGGGATCTGGGTCAGAATGTAGTTGATTGAAGGAAAAGCTCCCAGATAAAATGAAACATTTGAATATTTCTCTCTCCTTGGTGGCCTTCTTTGTTGTATTTATATTACATTTAGTAGGAGAAGCCTTTTGAATGAAATTCCACATTGGGGATTGGATTTCCATGTTTATAGCCTCAACCCATTTCTGGTTATCTGTGTCCTGCTCTCATGTCTTCACCACCATTATCGATGGTATCACTAAATGACAAAACATGCAGTTGAAGCAATTGCTAATCACTGTTAAGCCTTTTTAGTATCCTGATTTTTATTTTAACTTTTTTGTTTTTAGTTTTGTTTTTGAAAAAACAATGTTTTTCTGTGTAGCTCTGTCTGTACTGAAAGTAGGTCCTTAGACCACAGTGATTTCAATTCAGAGATATAAATGATTCTGGCTTCTGCACAGAGGGACTAATGGTGGGCAACATGTTTGTTTTGTATGTATTTTTTATTGACTGATGTGCTTGGAATGTAGACATTTGTAAATTCCAAGTTTTTGCTGTTATGATGAGCATCCCTACATATTAATTTTGACGTCTGGTGGAGGGTATCATTCTCTTGCTTAGGATAGCAGTATTCATGGCATTAATACCTATGTCTTCTTTATCATTGGATTGGAGGTGTGTCATATTCTACCCACCTGTTTTTTTTTCTTTAAAAAAATTCTATTGAATGAGTATCAGTTTTTTTTTTCTATATGCATGGGTATGTACCACATGTGTGCCTGTTCCTCATAGTGGTCAAAAGAGCTCTCAGAACCCACAAAGTTGAAGTAATGGATAGTTATAAACACCATGTAAGTACTGACAGTTGAGCCCATGTATCTGCAAGACCAGCAAGACTGCTTAAGGACTGAGTGAGCTCTCCTGCCCTATGGTATATGATCAACCTTTACAGTGCTGATGTTTTCTTTGGTCCATTTGTAACTGTTTAAACATGTACTTTCTTTTAGTAAGATCTTATTATGTTACAGTTTAAACTGGACCACTGCAGGTTCTGGAAGATAAATGCTTCTTTTCATCTTCCATTTTTTAGGAACCTTGTTAAAAGCCTCTGATTTCTTTGTAAATTTTTTATTTAAATGATTTTTTTTTATTTTTTAAATTTTATTGATATTTATTGAGCTCTACATTATTCTCTGCTCACCTCCCTGCCTCTCCCCTCCCCTCTCTAATGCTCCACAAAGGTCCCCATGCTCCCAATTTACTCAGGTGATCTTGTTTTTTTTACTCTCTACTTCCCATGGAGATTAGATCTATGTAAGTCTCTCTTAGTGTCCACATTGTTGTCTAAGTTCTCTGGGATTGTGGCTTGTAGACTGGATTTCTTTGCTTTATGTGTAAAAACCACCTATGAGTGAGTACATTTGATAATTTTCTTTCTATGTCTGGGTTACCACACTCAAAATAATGTTTTCTAGCTCTACACATTTTCCTGCAAAATTCAAGGTGCCATTATTTGAGGGGCATTTAGGTTGTATCTATATTCTGGTTATGACAAACAAAGCTGCTGTGAACATAGTTGAGCACATGTCCTTGTGGCATGATTGAGCATCCTTTGGATATATACCCAAAAGTGGTATTATTGGGTCTTGAGGAACATTGTTTCCTAATTTTCCAAGAAATTGCCACACTGACATCCAAAAAGATTGTACCAGCTTGCATTCCCACCAGCAATGCAGAAGTGTTTACTTTTCCCACAACCTCTTCAGCATAAGTTGTCATCAGTGTTTTTGATCTTGGTCATTCTTTCAGGTGTAAGATGGAATCTCAGAGTTGTTTTGATTTGCATTTCTCTGATGACTAAGGATGCTGAGCATTTCCTTAAGTGTCTTTCAGCCATTTTAGATTCCCCTGTTGAGAGTTCTCTTTACTCCATTTTTTTTATTGGATTATGTGTTTTTTGGTGTCCAATTTCTTGAGTTTCTTGTATATTTTGGAGATCAGACCTCAGTCTGATGTTGGGTTAGTGAAGATCTTTTCCCATTCTGTAGGCTGTCATTTTGTCTTGTTGGTGGTGTCCTTATTAATTGTTTCTCTCAGTGTCTGTGCTGCTGGGCTTATATGTAGGAAGTGGTTTCCTGTGTCAATGCATTCAAGTGTACTTCCTACTTTCTCTTCTATAAGGTTCAGTGTGGCTGGCTTATGTTGAGGTCTTTGATCCATTTGGACTTGAGTTTCGTGCATGGTGATAGATAAGGGTCTATTTTTATCCTTCTACATGTTGATATCCAATTATGCCAGCACCACTTATTAAGTATGCTTTCTTTTTTCCATTTGATATTTCTGTGCTTCCTTGTTAAAAATCAGGTGTTTGAAGATGTGTGGATTGGTATCTGGGTCTTCAATTCAGTTCCATCGATCCTCCTGTCTATTCTTATTCCAATACCAGGCTGCTTAAAGTACTGTAGCTCTGTAGTAGAGTTTGAAGTCAGGGATTGTGATGCCCCAGAAGTTATTTTATTGTACAAGATTGTTTTGGCTATCCTGGGTTCTTTGCTTTTCCATATGAAATTGAGTACTGTTCATTCGATGTCTTTGAAGAATTTTGATGGGCATTGCGTTGAATCTGTTTTAAATGATTTTTGGAGAGGAGACAGGGCTCTATTAATGTGTAAATCTGGCTTACCTATAACTTACTGCATAGGCTTTGACTGGCATCCGACTCAATTTAATTCATCTGCTTTTACACTGAGTGCTGGTATTAAAGGCATGAGCGGATATACTCAAATTTACCATCTCTTCTCTAGTTAATAATCATCCAAACTATTTCTCAGATGTGTTCTCAGTAGTGTTGATCTGCTTGCTTGGCTCTGTCTGTATGTTTGTTTATTGCCATTTCTTTCTCAAGGCTATATTGTATGTAATGGGCCACTGAATGTCACATGTGATCTGCCTCTTTAGTTGCTTTCAAAAGTGACTTGGTGATTACATTATAATGCATATTTAGTGAAAGGAGTATAGGAAGCATCAAAATTATATGAATATATTACTGTAAAAGAAGTGTCATTTGCAATGTCAGGTTCACACTTTGTTTTACTCTTGGTTGGATTATTCTAGAATGCAGTGACCTATGATGATGTGAACATTGAATTTACTCAGGATGAGTGGGCATTGCTGAATCCTTCTCAGAAGATTCTCTACAAAGATGTGATCCTGGAGACATCCATGAACTTCACAGCTATAAGTAAGATTATAAATTTCCCTTTACATTTTAAAATGAAGGGACAACTGTGTCTTGGTTATTGATTCTCTTAGGGAGTTTTGTTTGAGAAAGAATAAGAATGACCTGAATAACAACTGCATGGTTCACTTAAGATACTAAATTCTGTATAATTTCCAATAATATATCATACATTTTCTGTTACTGTATTTTAGGCTACAGTTGGGAAGACTGTTTTTCCGAAAAACATTGCCAAAGTGCTAGAAGACACAGAAGGTATTTTTCATGTGCAACCTGATACATGTTTTCCTTGAAGAAATTTTAATGTGTCCTGGCAGATTTACATGAAAACAACAGTAAAAATAAGAATAGCTTAAAGTATACTGATCATGAACAATTTCTCACTAAATCATATACCTCCATATCAGGCAGCTAGCTGTTTAGTGTTTTTAATGCATTCCTCTAAAAACGAAGACGAGGAAACAATGTCTTTACAGATACCACCACTTAAATGATAGCCCCATTTTCCTATATGTCCCTCAGGCCCTATACATTCAACCCATCTCGTGCTCTGTCTTACTGAGGATAGGGTTCCAATTCCCAGGAACTGAAAATTTACATTCTGAAGGGGCCAATACGGATGCCAAGATTCTGGGGTAATGATACTTACATCAGCATCTGTGTCCAGCAGGCCAGTAATAAAAATGCCATTTACACACACTCTCAGCTTAGGTCTTTGACCATTTATAGAAGTTTGCCAAAACACACGTAACTCATCTTTCTGTTCATTATCGTTTGTAACAGTAGGCATGAGGTTTCCTAATTGTCCTGACGAGGCACGTTCTCTGCAGAAACTGGAAATGACTGAACCATGTTTGCCATGGGGACCTGTGAGGCCCCCCCTCTCACGTTTCCCATCTGTATCAGGTTGCCTTGTCTATCTCTTGAAGATCTGCATTCATTCGTCCAATGTCTACCCTTTCCACATCTTCTACATAAACCTGAAGGCTGAGTCCTTCTATTTTTGTTATTTCTAGAAGATGCATTATTATTATTTCTGAAGATCCGTTGTTTACAATTCCTTTTCATGTGACCCATTTTGCCACAATTAAAACATTTGGTATTCTGGTGTCTCCTTTTACCATTGGAAATTGCTTC